CTGAGGGGCTCATCTTCCAGCATCATATCTTTTAGCCTTTTCTTTCTGTTCATGGAGTTTTCTTGGCAAAGATACTGGAGTGGCTTGCCAGTTCCTGCTCCAGTTGGATCGCGTTTAGTCTGAATTCTCCACTATGGCCTGTCCCTCTTGGGTGTCCCTGCCCAGCATAGCCCATAGCTTCTCTCAATTACTCAAGCTCCTTTGCCACGGCAAGGCAGCAACCTGTGAAGGGGAACCAGGCTGATACTCTTTTTATAAAAGATATTTTGAATAACCACTTCAGTTAACAAGTATGGATGTTTAAGCAAATTAAGAATACATAATGTTAAAGTTTTAAACAAAACTATTTAAATTGTTATTAAGGTCATAATTTATTTGTGAAGTTCATAATTATTTTTCTCCTTCCAATGAAGTACAGCAGATAAGTTGTCCAAATATGAATTATTAACCTATTAAACTGTAGTTAATTCACTTCACAATAAATTCTTAATTACCTATGATGTATTTCTAATAGTATAACCAAATCAGCAATTGTTTTTGAAATAACTGTAAAACTGATTTGAACAGTTAATCTAAAAATGAAACCTTCATCTGGTTTGAAATACAGTGGTGCCCCGCATAGCGAGCGCCTCGGGTTAACGACGAATCCGCATAGCGACACGTTTTTTGCGATCACAAAAGCGATCGCATTGTGATGTTCTCAATGGCTAAAAATTGCTTTGCGATGATCTGTAAGCGTTTTGCTTACCGATTTTCGTATAGCAATGTTTTGGGAACAGCTGATTGGCGGTTCCAAAATGGCCGTCAGAAAAAAATGGCAGCCCGCAACATTTTCGCGCCCTTTACTCACTTACCGGGCAGCAAAAATGGTGGCCGCATGGAGGATTTCCGCATAGCGGTGAGTTTACAGGCCATAGGAATGCATTAAACTTGTTTAAATGCATTCCTATGGGGGGTTTTGCCCCGCATAGCGACAAATCCGGATAGCGAAGATGTGTTTGGAACCACTGTATTAAGGTTATGTGAGCAAGAATGAGTCTTTATGTAGAAAACCATGATTTAAATGTCATCTTGCCAAATAGTGATTTAAATTGGTTTTATTTAACTCAAATCCACTCTGATTCTAATCTATGATGTTCCCTTTCAGGGTTTGGCATAGAGCAGTCAAAAGTAGTTTACACCATTCCCTTTTTCACGGGGCACCCTGGGACTGTACAGTTTGCCCAAAGCAACACAGGTTGGCTCTTCTCCTGGGATGCAAAGTGGAGAATCGAATTTCCAACCTCTGACTCCACAGTCAAACACCTAACCCACTGAGTTATGCAGATAACAGAATAATAATTTACTTTAACCGCCCTACATGCTCCATTTACAAAACTGAAAGCCTCACCTCCCCCATCCACCTGCTTTCACACTTAATAAAGGTACAAGGAAATTATTCTCCAGTTTGTTTTTCATTAAGAAACTGCCCTATATGCAAAAGCAAAGTGGGGAGAATCATTTTTATGAGGCAACATCATCAAAATAGTGTATTCTTAAGTACTTCAGAGAGGAAAGTACAATCTAAAGATTTCCAATGATCCTTAAATAAATTGTAACAGGAGATTCAGAAGAGTTTTGAGTAAGACATCAAGTGGTCTTAAAATAAGATGTCACCATCCAGATAATTTAACTGGTAGAAGTAAGTCTAATAAAATAATGGAACTTAATCAGCCTGTGATAGAAAGGTAAGCTAAATACTGTACATTGCTCTCCAGCAATGGTGTAGTTCCTGGTATGCAAGGATGGTAGAATACCTTTCACTGAATTAGTCATGGTGGTGCCTTAAACAGGAAACTGACAGATGCAACTGAAGTTTTTCCAGTCATGAATATAATCATGATAGTGAACACAAAAATGTAATCATACAATACGGGGCTACATTCCTGTAAATTCAAAGTGGATCAACACTGGTTCCCACATGAACACTAACCACTAAATGTGCAAATCTTGCTTTTGCTTTTAAACTTGATTTTATTATAAACTTTAACATTATATTTATTTCATGTCTTTTAAAATATTGTGATAATGTATTTTTTGGTTTTCAACCTTGTTTCTTTTAATACTATAAGCCACATTGCATCCTCTAGGAGAAAGGTGGCATATAAATATTTTATATATATAATAATAAATAATAAATTTCACTGAGAATTGTGCTGGATGTCATGCAATTCTCATCCTTTCTTCATCTTCCTTGGAAGCATAAACCAAAATTTTATTCTTCCTTTCACTGACTCCTTCCTCCACTGTTGCCACAGAAACTGTGGGGCCCAATTCTTTCACATCTCCAACAGCCAACTTTATTTCCTATCCTCAAGACCAAAAAAGGTATCTCATAATCTGGTGTTAACTTCTTGGGAGGTTTACAGGACAACTAGGATATCCATGAATAGCACTGAGCAGCTCAAGGGACACTTACAGAATTTAAGGGAAAGACACAACGAAGCGCCACTCCCCACAAGAATAAGCATCTTCTTAAATGAGCTTTTTTTGTGTGTGGACTTGTGGGGGATTTGCTGGAAAGCCCTCATGAAGCCAGAACTGCTGTCTTGGAGAGAGGACAATAGCCGGCAGAGATAAGGGGAAGAGATCAGAGAGGGAGGAAAGGAAACCACTCTGCCATGAAGTTGATAGAATGGAAGTTGGAATTTTGGTGTTTTTTTTATGAAATAGATTTTAGAAAATATTAAAATTTTACTGGCATGCTATATTAGTTAGTTCTTTAAGGTGCCAAAAGACATCCACTTGCTTCACTTATAAGTGTGCAAACCCACTATTTCCATGTTAATAATCACTGCTAAAAACCCTTTCTCCTGTTTTGCATTGCTTAAGCCTATTCTTTACTTGCTTCTCATTTACTCTACCACAGCCTTTCCTACTTGGACAACTGCTTCTCTGTTCCTCCTACTGGATGTGTTAGCAAACTTAACAGCTTTTTAAAGCAAGGACAAATGCTCCCTAACATGTTTAACTTGGGCGCAGCCTACAGAGCTCAAACATGCTTTCTTATAATTAGAGATTTAGCTTTAAGAAAGCTATAATGGGATTGCAAACTCCCAAAAAGCCTGCCTCAGAAAAGAAACACCTCACAAAAAAACCTTGTCCAAGGGGCAATGATTCTGCGGGGACAAATAGGAAGAGCCGCTGGTAAGATGAGGCAGAGCTGGGCCACGAGGCCCATATACACTACAGGGCGGTCATCGGTGGCAGGTGCTACCTTGGAAGCAAAAAGCAGCGTTGCAGAAATATAGCAGCAAACAATTAAACGGGCAACGAGCGACGGGATCAGACCGGAAGCCTGTGGACAACACTCTGCAGCCGCCCGTGGAGGAGGAGGAGGAGCCCGTTCCAGAGAGGGCGCCCACCTAACGTTTCACGGACCCCACAGGAAGCCTCGCGAGAGGGCCACTCCTCTCCTCTTCTCACCCCCCCCCGCACGCACACCCACAAAGTCCACGGAACTCTTTTTCCCCCTCTCGGCCTTCTCTGGCGCAGATAGAAAAGCGAAGCACGGGCCCGCGCTGCGCCCCGTTGGATCGGGCGCTGTTCCCCCTTTCCCTCACCTTCTCTTCGGTACACGAGACGATGATAGACGGGTACTTGCGGCTCAGCCACCGGAAAAACGCCGGGACTCCCATCGGTTATGATTTCCACTACTCGGGCCAGCCGAGCCCTACGAAAGGTAACCGGCGGCGGAGGGGGGGGGGCAAAAACATTTCCGGGTCACCAGGTCATGGTTAAGCCTGACGGGAAAAAGGCAGGCTCAGGGCGGGAAGGGGAGGTGGGGCCCGTTAGCTCACGTGACTCGTGACGCAGGGGCTTCCCGCTCGAACCCGGTGTGGGGATGTGTGCAGAGGCGAAAGCGGGGGGTTTCTGCAAGGAAGCTTCGGAATGGGGGGGGGCAGGAGAGGAGCGTCGGGTCGAACTCGGAAGGAGGGAAGGCAGGCGCTGCCTTGCCCGGCCCAACAGATGCCGGCCGATTTGTGAGGCAGGCGCGGCGGCGAAGCTTTACGAAATGGGTCGCCCCAACTTCTAAACAAACAGTTTTGTTCTTTGGAAGCAACTTCCACTAAAATTCTGTTGATAACAATTATCTCATGTGCCACAAAAATTCTCATTTCTAGATTGGACATGCTTCGTTTTTTGATACAGTTGCACATTTATGGGATCTACTCCGCGAAGGACTTTGTGGTAGAGCGTATACATTCTGGCTGCTGGAAATCCCATGTGGCTGTTGAATTTTAAATTCTTAAGTAAGCAATTAAAAGGATCCAGTAGCTGATATAAGGCATCTTCCTGTATTCACCGATTCCATTTTGCGTCCGGAGGACAGAGGAAGTGCCTATTAGAAAGACAACGGGCCAGTCTTAAGTTTGTGAGCGAAGTTTGATGTCAAGCCCTCTTAACTTCAGTAAGGAATTTGCAAGCACCTTTTTAATTCTTCCATTACAATGAAAGCAGGGTTTAGAAAAAAATACAGATATGGTGGCTGGGGATTCTGGGAGTGAACAAACTGTTTCCAAGTTCTGCATGAAAGGGACTAAAGCTGCAGTCCAAAACATGGAATGAAGTTTCTACCCAATAGTAGCAGGGCTTTTCTCTACAGAAACGTGCATCGTTATCACTGTTTACAAATGTGTAAAATCTAAGGGTGTGACCACGTTGGAAAGCCAAATTGGAGTGATTCAGCTTTGCAGTGATTTGATTTGCAGCATGAATCATATTTGAAATCATAATCAGTGATCACACAGGGGCTGCAGATTAATTCAGGGATCCACCCTTCATACTGGGTGCGGTTCAAGTCATTCCTGCCCACAGCCTCCTTTTCTTCCTCTGGTCCTGCATCTGCCGGTCATTTATGGTTTGCTGTGAAGCTGCTTTCTCAAAGCTTCAAAGTACTACATTTCCCAGAAACCTCTACAAAAAACTAACATGGAATGGTACTTGACAGTGTAAGAATATGGAACATTAAAGTCTGAGAAGTAATTTGCAAAATACATTATAATTTACATGTCAGAATGATTCCTTAACAGGGATCACCAACTTCCCTTTCCCATTCATTACTTTTCCCTTACTTTCAAGTAATGTGTGCAGGAATTGCCTCACCTCTGGTCACAGTTTATCATACCAATTAGGGATAGGCGATTAATTATTCTGATACCTCCATGCAAAAGCACAGCTGCCATGTGTCCACTCAGCCCTCCCCCAGCTCTTCCCCAGGTCCACAGACCTGGCAGTGTGTGAGGACAAGTCAGTCAACCAGCCATTCCGGAGGAGGGCTGAGTGGCCAAATGGCAGCTCTGCTGCTGCGTGGAGATATTCAGATCTAGGAATCTGAAAAATTCAGTGCCTTTCCCTAATACCATTAGTTAAAAACCCTATGTGAACAGATATAAGGTAATTCCTGAATACATTCCTTGAAAGTAAGGGAAAAGAGTAATGGGTGAGGAGGTGATTTTAATGACACTTCCAAAGTGCTAATTAATTAATTAACAGCACTAAGCTTTTGCTTCACAACAAAAGGAGCTTTCCACATCTGACAGGATTCAGGACTAGCACTTGATTCCCCACATTAAAATGACAGTGCTTTGCTTTTGCATTCCCCCCCCCCAAACCTGCCTGAGCATGCCCGCCTCTGTCACTGAAACGCTCTATCCACAGACACACACCCTGTCTGTACCAGAATGTATCACAACATAGGAAAATGCCCATTCAGATTCTTCGGGCATGTAGAGTTTCTGTACTCTTACTCCTATCTGAAAAGAACTGTAAGTATTGATATCAACTCAAAGCTTTGTTTTGTTGAGGAATTGGGAGTTTTTTTCCCTCCTGCTGGCCTTCTTTCTGTCTTCTGATAGTTCAGTGTGTGAACTTGTCCCTTCTAGTTGTTTTGGTTTTTGTAATAGATTGGGATTGTTTTTGTTTTCTACTTCCTTTTCTTGAAAAGCTACAATTTACACCATTTCACAAATGAAAATAGAAACACTATTACACTGCCTGAGCAAACACACTACCGTTACACAATGCTATGTATTCTTCTGTTCCTGCCTCCTCTTGTATTCCTTCTGACATAGCTTGCCTGGAACTGGCTTCTGAGGCAGGCTCAATAGTAAGCTGAACATCACTCTTCTGTAGATGTAGAAATACTTAAGTCTTCTATCTAATGGATATATTTGTATAGAATAACTATAGCTTAAGCACATTCAATAGTATTTTCTTTCTGGATAAGTGGATGGACTTGGTATGTGGAAAGAGAGCCTGAAAGTGGTATTTCAAAAACCCAGAACTAATAAACATAGTTACAACATGGATCTACCCATATGACTTTAGCATAAACTCTAGCCTTTCCTTTTAAAGATACATACAGTAGTACCTTGGTTTATGAACACCTCGGTTAATGTAATTTTCGGTTTACGAACGGAAATCCATTTAAAATAATGCCTTGGTTTACAAAACAAATTTCACAATACGAAGGAAGCTTCCCCAGGATGCACTGTGCCTGGAGGTTTATAGCGCTGCCCCCATTCCTATGGCAATCTGCATTTTGGTTTACTAATTTTTTGCATTACGTAACTTCCCGGAGAATCCATTAAATTTGTAAACTGAGGTACCACTGTAACTAACACAATTGTCTTATGCTATGTTATTTGACAGTTCACAATGAACCTCACCAGCTACCACATGTGAAATAACAGATTGTGCACTAGTCACAATGGATTAGTCAAAATTGTGTCTTAGCCCAAGACTTCTACATACATCTACATTTTTCACAGCATTTTCAAAGACTGAAATTTATCAGTGACCAATAACAGAAAACAGAGCACATGGAAAAGTATTTTATTTAAAGTGAGATGCTTGCAATTAGAAAATGTTAACTATTTTGGCCAGTCTCAACTGGTGCTCTGCAGATTCCCCAGTTTCTGTAGTTAACAGTTCACCATCGTAAGTATTATGCAACACTTTCTGGCTGGCGCAGTGGTTAAACCACTGTACTGCAGCTAAAACTGTGCTCACGACCTGGGGTTCAAATCCCAGGTAGCCGGCTCAAGGTTGACTCAGCCTTCTATCCTTCCGAGGTCGGTAAAATGAGTACCCAGCTCGCTGGGGGGGCCATGTGTAGCCTGCATAATTAAATTGTAAACCGCCCAGACAGTGCTTGAAGCGCTATGGGGCAGTATATAAGCAGCACGCTTTTTGCTTTGATTTGTCTTGGGATAGTCCCTACTTCCTAGTATAACTTCTGAATGTAATTTAACTACAGTAATTGGTATTACTAAGGCCAAACATGCAACATGTAAAAAAAAAGTTGGGGCCCTCTGAAGAATCATTTTTCTTAGCTTTGGGTGCAATTGCCACATGCTATTAAATTCTACTTTTTTCTCTACTCTATAATCGGGACCTACGAGCAATGAAGCGAAACAGGAGATGGCTAGAGTGCATTTGGAGAGAGGAACCGACGGATCATAATAGGAAAGCTGTCAGGATCGCAACTAACCCTTACCTAGCCAAGGTAAAGGCTGCTAGACAATCACACTTCGCTGACCGGATAAGTGAAGCTTCAAATCAGCAGGCGGAATTATTCCATATAGTTTGCGATCTATCTGGAATTGGTCTCGGTGATGGGCCTCCCTCTAATATCTCACCTGACTAATTTGCATCATTTTTAAAATCAAAAGTGGAGGCCATCCGCTGGCATCTCCCTCCTTTAAATATAGTGGATTGAGCAGAGATGTTTAGCGCTCCGCCTTGCCCGGTGACACTTGAGCGCTTTCAGCCTGTGACACCAGATATAGTAGACAAAGCGCTTGATCGATGTCGGGCCACCACTTCCTCTCTTGACCCTTGCCTGGCCTGGCTAATCAAAGCAACTAGGCCTATAACAATGGAATGGGCCACAGCGATAATTAATGGGTCTCCTGCCCTCAAGGTTTCTCTTGCCCTCAAGGAGACACTCATTAGGCCCCTTATGAAGAAACCAAATTTGGCGGCGGACAAAATGGGCAAATATAGGCCCGTCGCCAATGTTTCCTTCCTTAGCAAAATGGTAGAGAGGGTGGTGGCTGATCAGCTCCAGACGCTTTTGGATGAAACTAACATTCTGGATCCATTTCAGTCAGGATTCAGGACACGCCATGGTACAGAAATGGCACTGGTTGCACTGTTGGATGACCTGTTGAGGGAGGCTCACAGGGTCAATATGTCCTTGTTGGTCCTCCTCAATATCTCAGCTGCCTTTGATACTGTCGACCACGGTATCCTCCTGGGGAGACTCTCCGAGTTGGGAATCGGTGGCCTGGCGCTTGCCTGGTTCAGTTCTTTCTTGGAGGATCGTCCCCAGAGAGTCCAGCTTGGAGAGAGTGTCTCAGCCCCGTGGAGTCTCAATTGTGGGGTTCCATAGGGGTCGATTATCTCCCCAATGCTGTTTAATATCTATATGAGGCTGCTGGGCGGGGTCATCAGGGAGTGTAGGGCATCGTGTCATCAGTACGCTGATGACACACAGCTCTACATCTCCTTTACACCTACTTCAGTGGATGCCGTTCTGGCCCTTCAGTGCTGCCTGGAGGCCGTACTGCAATGGATGCAGCTGAATGGGTTGAGGCTGAACACGGACAAGATGGAGGTCTTGAGGGTGGGTGGCCCCCCCCACTGGCAGTTTGGGAGACTCCCTCTCTTTTTTGGGGGGGTGACTCTCACCACACAGAGTGAGGTTCACAGCTTGGGGATACAT